GGTGGACGCCATGAGTGCTTGGCGTCATGGTCCAGGGCCCTGGAAATATTGCTGTCAATGGCGGAAATGGGGTTCATCACCGCCGTTTCACTTTGATATTTGCTTTATTAAATGTAGAGAACAGGTATCGCAGTGAGACATACCAAGAATGTCATATTATCTCACTCTCGGGATATCCTGTTTCCTGACAGTATAAATTCAGCTCCTTCACCACCATTGTCCTCCTCATCGCCACACAATACTCAACACTCCAGACAAGCAAGTCCTCAGTCTCAATCAATCACAATGTATCAGCCTCTTCTTCTCCTCCCTCTTCTCCTCACCTCGGCCTTTGCCACCCCCCATGATCCCACTACCCACCAGGCCCTGGAGAAGCGCGCCTCCTTCCCCATTCCCTCCTCCAAGGGCAGCGTGACCTACTCCTCTGCCAAGTCCGTCAGCGGCACCTTTGACGGCGGCCTGAAGACCTACGGCCGCGGCGTCAAGTGCAGCGGCCAGAAGGAAGGCGGCGACAAGGACGCCGTCTTCATCCTCGAGGACGGCGCCACCCTCAAGAACGCCATTATCGGCGCCGACCAGATCGAGGGTGTCCACTGCAAGGGCTCCTGCACCATCCAGAACGTCTGGTGGACCGACGTCTGCGAGGGTATGCCCATTCCCCTCCTTTCCCAATCTTCATCACAATTCCCCGCTAACGTTGACTCCAGACGCTCTCTCCCTCAAAGGCAGCAGCAGCGGCACCCACCGCATCATCGGCGGCGGCGCCCGCAACGCCGACGACAAGGTCATCCAGCACAACTCCGGCGGCAAGGTGATCATCCAGGACTTCACCGTGCAGAACTTCGGCAAGCTGTACCGCTCCTGCGGCAACTGCAGCAAGCAGTTCAAGCGCTCCGTCGAGATCAGCGGCGTCAAGGCCTCCAGCGGCAAGGCCCTCGTCGGCATCAACTCCAACTATGGCGATACCGCCTCCATCAGTGGCTGCGCCAGCAGCGTCAAGGAGATCTGTGTTGAGTATGAGGGTACCGATAATAATGACAAGGAGCCTAGGAAGAAGGGTTCGGGTCCTAGCAATGCTTGCAAGTACAAGGAGCCTTTGGCTACGTGTTAAGCTGCTGTATTGAGCGGTGGAGGGGATGATTTAGGCATTTGTTGGTGTATATACGTAGTAATTCGCTGGAAAATATACATCTTCTAGCTTGGCTTGTACCACAGAGGGTCTCGCGTGTCTCTAAGCCTACTGTCTTGACATACTACGGTCGCATACGAGGTTCACAGCAAACAATCACTTCGATCAAGGGAGATAGATTGGAGGAACCTGATAATCACAAGCATGAATTTTGTCGTTCAAAGTGGACCTCCACTGCATGCAACCCAACCGGTAGCGGCGGATAGTCGGCTGTGGCGGATTGAAATCACCAGAATGATGCCGAAAACTGTCGCGGGTATGATGCTTCGGCAACTTAAATAGAAAGGTAGGGTTTGCTTATAAGAAGAAATGCCGTACCCTTTCAAGCAAGGACCGCTCGACTCACTGGAGAAAACAGTGGCTGGTTTGCATCTTTGGCCTGGCGATCTGACGGGTTATCATCTGCACATAGGTTATACTGATGTGTCTACGTCAGTGGAAACATGCGCAGGGCCTGCTTGGTCTTGCTCTTCCAGCGAATACCATTACGGTTGACCATCTGCCAGTGAGCGTCCTTCTACCTTGGGTTTGCAATCGACGTCCACAGACGACAGGTCGCCCTAGATCAACCGCACGCAAAGCCGAGACATGTGCCTCAGCCGTTCTCCGTTTCAATCTTCGACGCCTGGAACTGACGCACACTGGCTGCTCAATGATGTCGAGCAGCTCCCTTGCAGATGGGGTGGCGATCCGTGCTGGGAACAGGAACTCTTGCTGAGTCGGAGACTTTGTTGCAAGACTTCTCAGCTCTTATGGGGTTTCATTGTCCGATTTCTGGCCTGGGAGTATTGCGGGAAATGAGGTACCGTACCCTAAGAAGCCGAAAGAATCAGGGGACTTGAGCGATGCCACTACCCTGAATGTCGGGACCTAGTGCTGAAGAGCGACCTCTCTGCTCAAGATCGTCGGGATCAGCACCCACTGCCAGCCCTGGGACTGAAACGTTCGCGTATCACCCGGTTATTGACACCCAGGGCAGCGTGAGAGACAATGATTTCGCTGATGCGATCCAGACTGTAAAAACCAGTAAAGGTGCATTGTGCATTCCAGGGCTTCGGAGCATACGTACGTATTCCAGAAATCTATGCCACAGTAACTCTTTCCCCTAGTACCACCTGCGTGTAGCCAAAGCTTTGCGGTGTTGCGCCTTCAGCTTAGATCCCTTGACCGCTACACAACTCTCAGCATGAGGCATTAGATTAGCTTTGAACGAAGGTTATTTGTAATTCCCATACCTGAACGCCCTACCGTGAGATGTGTACTGACTCATGGAATGAGGCTGGTTACAATGCGGAGCTTTGCATCCACACGGCTGGGTCACAACGAGATACTTCGAAGATGGCTGCAGAGAGCATAAATGCTATTGACATAGAATCTGTCGTAGCTGAATAACATGTCGTAGAAGGATGAGCTGTGCGAGGGCTGAGGTCACAATTATGGTAGGCTTGCCCCTTGCCGACCCATTCTGGATACAGTCTGCCAAACCAAGTTGGGTCAGGCAGACATGGGATTCCCCTTGCTTTATCACATGTCGTAATGTCGTCTGTAAAAGCTTCTTGGTGCTTTTCTGAGGGTAGATCGGTGTTCACCGCATTCTTCAGCAACCGAAGAATGCGCCACTACCCCAGGTCTCCGACGATTACAGCGCGGGGTGCGTCTTTATGGCTTCACGGCATTTCTCATTGGAGAATGACGCCCTCCTTAACTCCCTAGGACAGGGCCAAGACATGGCTTGCATCAGGAATGACGAGAGTCTCATTCCAAGTCCATCTCGGAGGACGGCTGGCGTCAATGACATAATTATAGGAATCTTCTCCATATCAAGCAGCATCCTGATATACTTAGTTAGTGAATTAGACTGGCTGTAATAATCATATTTAAAGTATTCCAGCTCTAAGGCACTAGGGACTTTATGCTTCGACTCTAGGAGGAGGTCTATCTTATTTAGATAGTATTAACTAGACTAATTTTAATAGTGGCTATTAAACTCTGGAAGGCAAATCTAAGATATAGGCAAGTACAATATAATTGCATGGTTGTGTCGATCTCACAATGTCTTGTTGCCTCATGTCTCTATTTTCCCCTTGCTTTATGCAAGGATTCTTAAGAATTTAATCCTAGTCATGACGCTCTGGCGGGAATTCTTGTTTCTAACTACCCCAGGATTTTCAATATATAAAAGGCAATCCCTGTTCGATCGATAGGATTATATAAAGTCTCAGCCTTCATCACCATCATAATAAATCAGCACAGCAAGTTACATCCATACAGCTTATACTCTTCAAGATTCCGCCATGAAGCTGTCACTAGCCTTTGTTATTTCTCTGGTACCCGCGGCTTTGTGCTACAAAGCAAATGAAAACAGTGGCGGCAGCTGCAATAATGAGACCAAGCAGGTCTGTTGCACCGGTGTTCTCAATTGTCTCGTTCAGGCCGTTGGGGATTCGTGCAGCAACCAAGCATATTGCTGTGAAACAGATGCTCCCGAGGTAAGTGGACAGCTAGCTGCTCATCATGACAAGAATCTGACTTTATGCCAGGGTACCCTCGTCAATGTTGCGTTGTTGAACTGTGTTGAGCTGTGAAGGAATATTGCTCATGGAGCCCGCCTTTGTAAAGAGATGTAAAAGCTGGAAGAGCACGACTGCATCCACGTACAACCTCAGATAATAGGCAGCTCTGAGAAATCATTAGGATGAGGGGCTAGACACACTGGAATTCGCAAGTGTTCAATGTTGACTCTCATTAATCCACAATCAAAAATAGGCATCGAGACAGCATAGGGTGAATGGCCTATAGAACACGATTGAGAAAGCATTGGGCATTAACGTCCAAGTTAACCAGGCCAGACTATCAGAAATTCAGAATGCCTGAAAACTTCCAACAGGTAATGTGCAATTTTCACAGAGTGCCCCCGGTGAGACGTTACCCAAAGTGATGAGACCACCATTGCCTTGTCCTTGACAGACAACAACTTGCTTACTAGCACCGACCAGCATATCAGAGTATAGTCCTTCCATGCAAGACTGATCTAGAGCAATGATTTGCTTCCACGTTATAAATACATCAACCTTATAATACTACTTCAAAATACTAAGATAGAAACGCAATGGCAAACGCACCCAGCTCCAGCTGTAGTAGGGCCCCTGTCCGCAACTGCGCTCTGGCAGAAGATCCTCATATCTGGAGAACAAGATGCTTGAAATGGTGGATTGATCAGTTATGGTTAGCAGTTAGCAGATGAGTAGTAGATTAATGAAACTGTGCTCACTTTGTTTGGGCCAATGAGAAGATCTTTCGTAGGAATTCGGGAGTATTATCCAGTAACGTGCCTGACTCAATCAAGATCACCACAACGAGAGGCAACCCTTTCGAAGCTTAAACCGCCTCAATCAAATCCAGACCGAGCGGAGCATACTGACAGCTCATCTGATTGGGTTCAGGGGAGACGGAAACGTCATAGCGAGATATGCCTACCCGGATGGGATAAAATCAGATGCTGCGCCGATACCACCTGGTAGCTACTGCTAGACTTGATATTTGATCTGCATGGTCATGCGCACAGGACCAACAACTAATCTATCGTCTCATATCTCTCCTTTATCGTGTAGATACTGGCAACATGGCAAAGGCGGACAGAGTTCACTCGGTATGTAGCAGAGTCCTTAGAGTTTGCGGATTCGCCACACCCTCACCCCCCGCCAGTATGACGGATTGACAATTAACAAACGCCTGTTAGTACCTCTGTCCAAAGGAAAACACCGTGATCATCCAGCCTGAAGATGAGATCACGCATGTCGGGACGGCCAGTATGGGGACGAAGACGATGAAGCCTGCGCGGGGGGTTGTGTTGGCGGTGGGCACGACGAAGGCGCTAGGGAATGGGGGACGCCATGCGATGGACGTGAGACTGGGGGATTTGGTGATCTATACCAAGGTGAGTTTCCGACTCTGGACAAGCTGTTGGAGATGGCTGCTGATGATGGGTAGGGGAAGGGGAAGGGAGTGAAGGTTGATAATGATGAGTATTTGCTTCTTGATCGGGATGAGTGAGTTGTTCCTCTGCTGTTGTCTGATCTGGTCTGATGTGAGCAGGATTCTGGCTGTAGCAGATTGAGAATTGTACTGTTGATATTGATACGAATGTATGATTGATGTCCCTCTTCATGGGATTGCGTATAGCGGTTACCTCATTTGTCCATTAAATGATAGGTATCCAACCAATTCAATGACAGAGCATCTGCTATAAAATAGATACGGAATGCTACCTAACCAGACAACTTAATGACCCCCTCCGCCATCTCAACCAACCCCTCAGCAACAACCTCCAACCTCTCCCTCTCAAACACCTCCCAACAGCCCTCTCCCTCCAGCACACCACAATACGCCCCCCGAAACCCCGCCCTCACCGCAGCCGACACATCCCACAAATGCGCCGCCGCAAACCACTTCTCCTCCTCCCCCTCAATCCTCTCCAGCGCAGCCCGATACGCCCCCAGCGCCGGCTTCGCAACCCTCAACCCATCACAACTCAACACCCTCTCCACCGGCATCTCAACCCCCGCCCGCGTAAAATAGCCCCGGACACGCTCCACATCCCCCGTAGTCAAACACCACACCTCAAACCCCGCATTCCGCAATCTCTCAAACGCACCCACAAGCTCAGGACGCAGCTGCAAAGACGCATAACCCGTTATACACGCGTCTCGCTCCTCATCTGTAAAGACCGAGCGCGGGTTGTCCACGCCCGCCATGAAGAGGCTGCGGTAGAAGAGCGCGCGCATGACGTCTTTGTAGGGGCGGTAGGACTCGGAGATGGACAGGAAGGTGAATTCGAGCTCCGCGGCGGTCATCCATGAGTACCCGAAGTGCTTTGCGGTGATACCGTAGGTCGTGAGTTTTGGGCCGATTGCGTCGGCGATGGCGTCGGAGTAGGCGTCGAAGGAGACGCAGGTGCCGACGACGTCGAAGATGATGTGTTTGGGCATTTTGATTCTTTTGTTGTGTTGGCTTTAGGTAGTTGGGGTCCAATTCAATTGTTTCAGTATATTTGGGAGAGTGATGAGTGAGGGGTGGGTTGTTTATGTGGACTCTCGCGAATTGCGATGTGGACATGCGGAGACGAAGTGATGCATGCAGGACCGGATCACATCCGGCGGATGAGACTCGTTCTTCTGGCTTATCTTGTCGATCGAAATGTAACTACTGATCAGATTGTGTTCCGGTTCACTCGGAGGATTATCGGAGGATTATCGGAGATTATTTGATATCTCTAGGAAGTCTTATCATGGAACGCAATCTCGCAGTATCAGTTATCTTACTCATAAACACATGCAATTGAATCGAGTGACTATGACCACAAAATATTCAACCGCCTCCACCAGGTCTTCCTCTTTGGCTCGGGCTCGGGCTCCTCCTGGTACACCTGGATAAACGGCCGGATGGGAATCTCCTCCAGCGGCACGATCGCCGTCCTCCCCCACAGCTTATACCCGAAATACAACACCAGAATGATCGGAATGTTCAAATACGACGAGACAAACGTCTCTGTATCCCAGTGCCCCCGCATAAACGTGCTGTACCCCCCAGTGAACAATAAAATTGTAAACAACACGAGCGCAAACCACGTTAGGTACGGCTGCAGCGGCGCCGCCCACGGTAGCTCTCTGTGCCGGTCGATTCCCTGCTTCCGGCACCCGTACTGGAACCGCAGGTAGACGATGCAGATACACATCCAGTTCACCAGAGTTGAAATGGAGACAATGTCCTGCAGCCACGTAAAAACCGTGCTGGCCGAGTCCGACAGCGTCATGTAGCCAAGCGACATAAAGACGCCGATCAGGGCGATGGCCACATACGGCGCCCCGAACCGGTTGACCCTAGTAAAGAATTTGGGCGCGTGTCCGTGCATGGCCAGCCCGAAGAGGATGCGAGAGCCTCCGAGCATGTTAGAATTCCCCGCCGACCAGGCGGAGGTCAGAACCGCAGCGTTGATAATAGATGGGACGGCCTGGATGCCTGCGCGCCGGGCGGCAATGACAAAAGGCGACTGGGACGCATTGCCGGTAGAGTGGAGCAGGTGGGGTTCATTAGAGGGGACCACCATGCCGACCATGAAGATGGACAGAATATAAAACAGAAACACACGCGCGAAGATCCGTCGCGCCGCTTTGGGGATCGCCTGCCGCGGACTGCGGGTCTCCGCCGCCGCGACGGTGATGTTCTCCATCCCAGAGTACGCGTACAGCGCGTTATTGAGCGTCGTCCAGAACCCCAGGAACTGGCCCCAGGAGCCCGGGACGCCCAGGTACTGCACGAACGGGCCGGGATTCCGCCAGTATCTGAATCCGATGCTCTGCCCGTCCGGCCCGCCTCCACAGGTGATCACCAGCGCCATGATATTGATGCCGATGACGAGCATGATCTTGATCATCGAGAACCCAAACTCGAGCTCCCCGTACACGCGCACAAACACCAGGGCGGTCGCCAGCATCAGGACCCCAAACACCGTGATCCAGATTGCATTGTTGACCGTCACCCAGAACTCGACGATGACGGCCGCCGCGGACAGCTCGGCGGGGATCGAGACCAGGTACGAATAGACCTGGTTCCAGCCGTTGGCAAAGCCGAGCGCTGGGTCAACGAAGAGCATGGCGTAGCGGACCACGCCTCCATTCAGCGGGACCAGGGCTCCCATCTCACCGACGGCAAAGACAACGGTTGAGCCGGCCACGCCGATGATGGTGTACCCTAGCAGGGCTCCAAGAGGCCCCGAGCGCGCGATGGCACGCCCAGAGCCGAGGAAGAGGCCGGTGCCAATGGTCCCGGCCAGCGCAATCATCTGGATGTGTCGCTGGTGGAGGCCTTGTTTGACCAGGCGGAGCTCGCCGAGATGGTCCGTGGCGGAGTCGACATTGTCAGGGAGCTGTTTCTCGGTGTCATGGAGGGTGTCTTTTTCAGGATCCGGCATTATTCTTGGTATCTCTGTTTCAGGTGGCATGTTTCAATTTGAAAGTAGGTTGGGGACCTTGGAGTGAAGGTGATCCCGTGGCCAGTTGGCGATATTTAACCAATGTCTTATCTCTCTGCTCAAGCTCATCCGGTGATGGTTTAGCTTTGAGATTAGAGTGTGATAGATAGCTTGACATGGTCTTCCAATGAAGACGATGCATTTGCAATTCCTATCTCAAGGTTTCGACTTCCCCTCTTTTCGTGTAGCCACCGCAACCTAAAGCCCTTGCTTCTGGGGATAGTTACACCACGACCAACCGGATCTGGACCGGATGATGCAGGGTCACATGATGATAAACCGGACTTGACCGGAGAATTGCAGATCGCACAGTAAAGATAAGAAAAGATAAAGGATGATCAGCGGAGAAAAGAGAGGAGAAGTGGGGGAGGTGAAACTGTGGTCCGTGGATCATCGGGGCTTGACCGGAGTATCTCAGCAGATAGGTAGACAACTCCTGGTCAGACCACAACGTCGCCAGAATAAGTATATATGAGACCTCTACAGTGGTCAAAGTTGACCATAGTGATAAGAACATAGAAAACAAGCAATGGCCACCCTCCCCTCAAACCCCATTGCCTGCTTCTGGCAGAACAACCCCCACGAACTACACAACCATCGCTCCACCGAAGATCTCCCGACGCACAGCGACGTCGTGATCATCGGCGCTGGGTATGCGGGCGTGAGCACCGCCTGGCATTTACTACACAACCACGACAACATCAAGTCAATTACGATCCTAGAGGCAAGAGGTGTCTGTTCTGGTGCCACCGGTCGCAATGGAGGCCATCTGCGCCCGGATCTGTACGGACATATCCCCACGTATATTGACCGCGCTGGACCCGAAGCAGCGGCGGAAATTGCCGAGTTTGAGATTGCGCATGTCCAAGCGATTAAGAAACTGGTGGAGAGCGAGCAGATCGACTGCGATTTTACACTCACCAGGACGATCGATGTCTGGTGTAATGAGCAAGCGGCGCAGGCGTCGAGGAAGGTGTACGAGCGGATGAAGGAGTATGGGTTTGCGTACATGGACGATGTTGACTTTCACACAGGAAAGAATGTAGAAGGGGTACGTCTGAATCTCCAATCATGCGAACAATATCATACTAACGCGATCAGATCTGCGGCGTCAAAGGCGCCGTGGCCTGTGCCTCCTACACTGCGGCCACCATCTGGCCCTACAAGTTCATCACGCACCTTCTCACCAAGCTCCTGGCGTCAGGAAAGGTCAATCTGCAAACCCACACCCCAGCAACAGCAGTTACACCATCTGCAGCCGGCGACAGCAACAGTAAATTCACAATCGACACCCCCCGCGGCACCCTCCACGCCGACAAAGTCATCCACACCTCCAACGCCTACGTCTCCTCGCTCCTCCCTCAGTACAAACACAACATCATCCCCTGCAAAGGCATCTGCTGCCGCATCGCCGTCCCAGAAGGAAAACCTGCCCCGCTGCTCACAAACTCCTACATCGAGCGCACCAAGGACAGCGTCCTGTCATATCTCATCCCCCGCGCAGACGGGAGCATCATCGTTGGCGGCGCGTCGGGGCTCTTCAAACCCCATCGCGAACAGTGGTATAACAACACCGACGACAGCGTGCTCATCGACGCGGCGAAGGACTTCTACGACGGGTACATGCAGCGGACGTTCCGCGGGTGGGAGGAGTCCGGGGCGAGGGTGGACCAGATCTGGACTGGGGTCATGGGTTACTCATATGACTCGAACCCGCATGTTGGGGCTGTGCCGGAGAACGAGGGGCAGTTCATCCTAGCGGGGTTGAATGGGCATGGGATGCCAGTTGTTTGGCTGGCGGCGGAGGGATTGGCGAGGATGGTGGGCGAGAGGGTTGAGTTTGAGGAGACGGGGATGCCGAGGTTGTTCAAGACGACGAGGGAGCGGATTGAGAGGGCGAAGGAGGGAAAAGAAGAGGATGGGGATATTCTTGGGACGGGGTCATTTCCTGCTACCAAGCAGTAGTCTAGATGGTTAGCCAGTTGCCAGTGTGGTGCATCATAAATATAGTTCCTATTTAGATTAGCGTTAGTCACTATCAATGGATCCTTACGACCTTACCCCGTGTTTATACCACTTCCGTTATCAGTCCCAAACTTAAGCTTCGCCACCGGGAGATAAGCCCCTGTCGACGCTGCAGCCACACGGTCCACACCAACGTGGCAATCTTCAGTGCATTCTTGTTCACAGATAACACACAATCTACTCTTTTCACTGCACTTTAATATAGAAAATGAGCGCATACCAGCCACCAATACCTTCTCCCCCCAGAGTGCAATCGAGCACCGAAGCACCCGCACCCCGACTCAAACGGCGCAAAGTAACAGACGAGAGAAAGCGCACAGCCAGAGCGTAGGCCTCCATCCAGAATCAAGTACCAAGTACCAATCTGACCATACAGCTGCGATCAATGCCGCCGATGGAAAGAAAAATGCGAGGGAGGAATCCCGTGCAGGAAGTGTTCGCACCTTGGCCGTCCCTGTCGCGTGCGGGGTATGCCTGTACCGCAGGATATCAGGTACGATCGTCAGTACTCACTAGTTAGTACTTTGTGCGGGCTGACATTGCTAGCGCTCGGGATGCGTTTCTGGAACTGCAGGAGCGGGCCATGTACATGGAGCGGATCCTGAAACACGCGTTCAAGGGGATCGCGCTAGATACGAAGAGTCTTAGGCAGATGGCATTGTCGATTGACGAGCCGGACAAGGAGACGCAGCCGGAGACTGACGAGGCCGAGTTGACTATGGAAGAGGAGGAGTGCACGATCGACCCGGTCGAGGATACCGTTACTCGTGCGTTTTTCCTATTCTGCGTTGTAGACGGCTGGCGTTGACTATAGACAGACTTCTCCGGAGAATTCTCCTACTGGAACTTTTCCATGCGCGTCAAGCGTCAGATCGAGGATAGGATGGCCGCTTCCACTTCCCTGAGCCAGGTATGTCTCTGCCGCAGTCCTCCATACATACTAACTGGTCCAGACTCAACCCCCAAACCAAATATCAAACTACCCCCGAGCGAAACAGCTGCGATCCAGCTCGCGAACCCTCGCAGCCGCCATCTCCTGCATCCCCCCTCGCCACATCGCCGAGTTCCTCATCGGCATCTTCTTCAAACACGCCGTAACACACTACTTCTACGTCGACAGACCATGGCTCCTCACCAGACTAACCGCCCTCTACACCAACCCGGAAACCCTCACTAGCAAAGACGCCCCAGTCCTCAGCATCATCCTGACTGTGTTCGCCATCGGCACGCAGTACGCCTACCTCGAAGCAAAGTCCGCCCCTGCCTCGTCCAGCCAAAACTTCTCCGAGGACGAGCTGGGCACAATGTTCTACCAGGAAGCGATCCGCCTGCTGCCGGAGATCATCGAGGTGTCCTCGCTGGAGAGCGTGCAGGCCTGTCTGCTCTTTGCGGCGTATGCGTTGCCGATTGATGCGGCGGGGCTGGGGTACGTGTATATCAACCTGACGATTCGGCTGGCGATGCAGAATGGAATGCATCGCCGGTGCGTGGGGGAGGCGTTTAGTGCGGCGATGATGGAGACGAGGAATAGGGTGTGGTGGACGGCGTATGCGATGGAGAGGTATTCCTTCTCTCTCGCTTCGTTTGGTAGTGTTGCTGACGGAGTAGGAAAATATCTATATTCCATGGCCGACCTCTGGGAATGCTGCGATCGGACGTCGACACGCATTTGCCGGCTGATTTGGGTGAACAAGACTTGACAGCCCCATATATGCTTGCTTCTATTCATCTCACGCATCACCTGGAGGATTTCTATAAACAAATGTACGTCCACTCTACCAGTAAAGCGCAGATATACTGACAACCGCAGATCTCTCCTCCGCACTACTCCAAAACAGGACCTCCCCCTCCTGCTGTCACGACTCGCCCACAGGAAAAACGACCTAGAAAGATGGTGGTCCGCGCTCCCGCTCATAATCCAAGAGAACGACTCCCAGACCCCAGTCGACCGATCAACAGCGCACCTCAAACTCGAACACTGCCTCCTCCGCATGTTCATCGGCCGCCCATTTCTGTTGTCCCGAGGCTCGCCGTCAAACCCGACCACCCCAGCTACTCCCCCCTCAGGCACCGCTCAAAAGCCCACGCCGCGCCAGGAACTGGTAATCTGCTGCATAACAGCCGCCGCCGACGCAATATCCATCTGCAGCACCCTCCGCGACAGTGACAGTGGCCCTGGTCTGGCGCGCGCCTCGTATATAGAATACAGCTCGTGCCGAGCAGCGCTGCTCGTGCTAATCGCGTACTCGATCCAGGATCGCTCTGATCATTTTCGCAAGGCGTTACGGGTTGGGTTAGATATGATTCGGGAGATGGCGGCCAGTGGGGAGTCGGCGAGATCGGAGGTGGAGTTGATTGAGGCGTTGGAGAGGGCGCTTGTGAGGCTAAGGTCGTTTGATGAGGTGGGCAAAGTAGCCTCGGACTATGAGGAGTTTAAGCAATGGGAGTCCATGTGGAAGCGGCAGAATGAGGGGGATTGCAATTCAGAAGAAGCGGTTGCGGGATCGATTCAAGAGCAAGGGTGGCCGACAAGCGAGATGGGTCCCTCGGGTATGGCAGACAGCAATGCGAATCTGGGCCCTTTGAGGTTGTTTGATGGTGCGGCTGAATGGGCTCTGTTCGGTGGAGGAAGTGCATTGCCAAGGGAGCTGCAGCATCCGGAAACGCAGATGTTGGGGGATTTTCTGTCTCTCCATGATCCGAGATTCGACCCTGATTTGAGTCAATCATTGTGAATTAAGGCACCCTATCATACAGCACATGCTGACCACCCGGTTACTGTTGTCTGCGTCTTTGCATCAAAATGCCTAGAGGAATGTCTTCCTCGTCGTAAAAGTCGACTTCCTCGTCAACTCCAAAATCACGGAGGCGGTCTCCTTCAGAGTTCTTCCAGCCTTCCTCACCATCCTGTGCTTCCCCATCATCAGAAGAGTCACTCTCACTTTCAGAATCCCTTTCTTTCGCCTTATTTTCATTAAACCGGTCATGGAAGCGTTTCCGACGCTGTATGTTATGTGCTCCCTCCGAATGGCTGGCATCATTAGACAGCTGGTTATTTCGCGCTTGTATGGCCCTATGATACGAAGCATCGGCAGCCGCAATGGCGGCGCTCAGATCCTCCCGCTTTGCAGGAAATGGAATGCGATCAGGGTCTGGGGGCGGCCACGATAGGTTGGGGTCTGCCAGCGTTAACCGATGAGTTTATACCACCTGTACTTTGTACAGTGCACTCACCCTCAAAGCCATTTACTTCATATTCTAGACCAGTCGACCGGTCAGGAGTAGCTGCAAATGGCCAGAACCAACTCAATACCTGGACGACGTCAGCGTTGCACCTGTCAAGAATCTCGAGGCTGAACCAACGTTCGCACTCCCGCCCATTCCGGCTTTGATATTCGACCATATGCCAATATCATATGGAAATTCCTGCTTCTTGATCCGGAGCTGGATACCGCCTGGTCCGGACAGATACCCCCCAAAATGTCGAGCTCGTCTTAGTAGTGTCTCATGTCGTTCAATCTCCCACGATTCGATAGTGGTGGTGTTAAGAGCTAGGGACCAGAGACTTCGAAGCAGAAGAATAAATAGTGCAAGCCAGGTCAAACTGTTCACCACCAATAAAATGAAGAGATGGGCCAGTTGTCCCAAACTAGGGCCGAGGTACTAAAATGGAATTAGCTTGCACCAGAAATCAAGCGGGCAACCTGCTCATACACTAGGGAGATGGCGCGATGCCCAGACTATCGAAGCTCTCTCGAAGAGAAGAGTCTCAAGATAGCCCATGCCCACTACAGCATAGAACAGAAACCTCATAAAATGAGGATATGTAAAGTGTGAAATGCAATTCGATGTCCACGGACAGTGGTGGTCCATCTTCGGAATGCACCTGCAAATTGTGAGTCGGGAATAACGCTCGAGCCACAAAAACTCACCTCTGACATGTCTTGCAATGGTGCGCTCGCGGTGGCTTGAAAGCCTCGCATCGACGACACCAGCGCTGCCTGCCCCCTGCGCAATCCTTTTCCAATTGCTTAAGGTTTGAGGGCATCCAATCCTTGGGTATCCGGCCAGGATCTACAGTACATGCCCGGTAATAGCATACCCAGATGCACAGAGCGAAGATGTTCAGGCGCCAGAACTCTTGCGATCTTAGGGGTGCCTCCTTGAAATAGTAGAAAAATAACTGGGACGTGTACGCAAGAAAACTGATCAACGCGGAGACGAACGGAATGGCCAACTGCGAAATGTTGAACGAGCGACAGAGCATTTTGATCGGGGCATATTCATCTATACGATCTCATGCATCGAAGGAAACTTGATTGATGCCAAAGTCGTCTAGCACGGCTTCAAGATAATTCTTCAGGAGTGTTGTTGATGCTGACCACGTGGTGCAGGTGGTCTTGACTCTCTTGACTAAGCAGCAAGCACGTGACCTAGATTCTACAAGAAGCGTGCGTGGAAATATCGACGGCCATTCATCCCTGCTATCTTCGAGCATACTTCTGAAATATACTCATCGAGTTTATCAGTATTTAAGTGGCTCTCATCAATAGAACATGAAAAGGCTCAATATATCTAGAGAATGATCCGAGTCTCGCGTCATCACCGCTGAGGATGCCGATCGCGGCCCTTCCCCAGACCACTGTTCGAGCAATTGGCTCAACTTCTGTCATTTCAGACCCCTGCTCCATTGTCAAGGAGTTGCTGGAGAATTCTCTTGATGCACACGCCACTGCAATTTTTATAGAAATCTCCCAGAACACAGTCGACGTCATCCAGGTAAAGGACAATGGACATGGCATTCCGTCCGAGGATCATCCTTTCGTCTGTAAACGCGCCTTCACCAGCAAGATAGAGACGGTCGATGATCTGAGGAAACTCGGCGGAAAGTCGCTAGGCTTCAGAGGTGAAGCGTTAGCCAGTGCTGCCGAAGTTTGCGGAGGAGTGACGGTCACGACTAGAGTTCAAGCGGACCCAGTTGGCTTCTGCATGAAATATGGGAGAAATGGCGAGCTCCTCAGGTACGTTGTCCGGAGGATGTTCGGAGCGTGCTGTGCTGATATATTGAAGTACTCAACGTGCCTCGCATCCAGTTGGTACAACCGTGCGAGTAACGGATCTCTTCAAGAACATACCAGTCCGCAGGCAAACGATACTAAAAAGTACCGCAAAGACAATAGCCAAGATCAAGAAAATTATACAGTCGTATGCCATCGCTCAACCCACTATAAGGCTCTCATTGAAGGTTCTTAAAGCTCCTAGCGAAAAGGCGAACTGGGTTTACGCCCCTGGAAAAAATGCCTCGCTCATGGACGCAGCACTCAAAGTTGTCGGCACTGAGGTCGCTTCTGCTTGCGTAACCAAGGAGTGGCCGTGTGGAAACGATTTAGATGAGGAGTCTGGGAGTGGTAATGACTCTTCTTTTCAGCTGACAGCCATACTTGCGAATCCTGGATCAGGTATTTGCTCCACCCATTGAACTACAACTTGGCTAATGAGCGCAGATTACACAAAAGTGAATAATGCGAGTCAATTCTTCAGTGTGGACGGCAGACCTCTTTCAGCAACTCGGGGCATTGGACAGGAAATCTCAAAACTGTACAAGTCCCATCTACGAGCAGCTGCTTCGCGTAGCGGCGCTTTCTCGAACATATCAGATCCATTCCTTTGCTTGCAAATCCGCTGCCCGGAAGCCTGTTACGACGTGAATGTTGAACCAGCCAAGGACGATGTTTTATTTGAGAATCAGCAAGATGTTCTCTCGCTTGCAGAAGATCTATTCAAGGACGTTTACGGTGAAACCCCTGCTGGAACTGAGACGCGCAAGAGTTCCTCCAAAGGGAAAGAAAGGACGGCAAATAATGACGCCTTCGAACTACTTTTAGCTCGTAAAGACACCCCTGAATGTTCTGTCGAAACTGTGAATGACGGTAACAAGCCACCAAGCTTCGTCATTGCTAGCTCACTTTTTCATATGAGGAGCAGCCCGAAGAATGGCCGACACGAACAGCGATTATTCTCCGATGGAACTCCAGGTGCCTCTGGTCATGCAAGAGCCAGAGATTTAGAGGGCCTCAATCCATGGTCAGTGACACGACTGTATGCCCCTTCTGGAGCTCCATCCCATAAAGCTCCGTCGAGGGTTCCAACAGGGTCCGCACGGCTGCCTCGTGCAGCGCAGGAACTGGAATCCAGGTCTACGATTGATGCATCTCCGTTGCGCTCAGCACATTCCGCTTCGCCGAGTGCATCTACGCCTAATTCGAATCGACTGTCACACTCCCCAGCCGAGTCTCACTCTTCTGCTTCGGTCTCCGACCTGACGCAAACTTCGCCAATCACGCCATTACACGGTCCATCCGCACGATTAAGAGCTTCAAGGCAGCGCGACAAAGAGCGTTATGGTAACGGTGCTCTCGATACGTGGTTCTTGAAGACCACGCAAGCATCAGTTCCTCAGGAACCGGTTGAGCAGCGTCCGGAAAACGAGCATGATGAGACTCCGTTGTCGCAGCTAGCGCAGAACCGATTTGCACAACCTGAACGTCCGCCAGTCACTTCAGCCACAACGGCCCCTCAGAATCCCACAGTGACTTCAGGAAGTCCAGGACCATCTGAGGAGGCGACGAGCACAGTCGAATCGTCAGTCATCAGCCGGAGTCGCGCTTCAGAGCCTTCGTCAAGACGGCTGGACCAATGGTCTGCAAATCTGCACGGACTGGCGAATGCTGACCATAACCCCGACCTGGAAAGGGTCCTTGACTTTGAGAAGCGCAAGAGAGAAGTGATCACAAAGTTGCGGGAGCAGAGAAAGAATGCGTCCGCCGCGAATTCACCCCATGTGAGCAGATATCTTGCTGCCAAAGCCGCTTTGCAGCCCGAAGTCAATAACGGCAATGCCGAGCCGGAGCAATTGATCTCTGTAACCGACAGCTCAAGTCCTCGTCTGAACCCACATGATCCAAGGTCTTATCTCATGCGCAATAAGAGCTCGCATGATCAAAGGACGCTTGATTCGGATTCGGCCAAAATCCGACGAATCCAAACAAACAAGTTACCATTCGAGAAGATAGCCGAGGGGTGCGAATTGCATGATTTATGCCTGGTGCAGCCTGCAGATATTCGTCTGATCTCCGAGCAATTTCGCGACTTATATGAACATGATCTATATATACGAGAGGAAGATACTTTCGCAGGGTTTACTGCTGCGGATCTACAATTCCTAAGCTTATGGGAGAGTCAATTGTCCTCATTAATCAAGCAAAAGTTTCGAACTACGCAAGGTTCAGACATCCCTACTATTCAGATAAACCCCTCCGATATACATCAGCATCTGGGTGACCTTGATATGGGTAGCTCATCTGCATCTGCATGAATCTTCTCTACTTACCTAATGCTTGATAGCAACGTCTGTATACTTATGACATGTATAGATATAGATGCATCTCAATTAATCTAAATCAACACCACAACTCCTTTTCCTAAAGAGCAATGCTTCTATTAAAGAGTATAATTTTCCATAAAATTATGTATAGCGATGATATCATCACCGTAGGGCCAATAACTTGTTTGGCAGATGGCCGCAGCGAACCGTTACATAATCCTGACATCAACACTGACTCGACCTACAAAACCCCAGCACACCACCATCAACAACAAGATGGAATCTCTTCAATCAACATAGCGATTGAACAGCACTGATATTCAAAATGGAGGCCGGCGCACAGCCGTTGGTCGACGTCGACCGATGGCCGGACGAACGCTCCCATCTCAAACTCAACACCAGCGATGTCGGCATCTTCAAATCAACCATCCTCCCCTCGTTCACTCTCCACTCCGGCTTCTCCGTAGCAGCCTACGCCCTCTCCCGAGCGACCGACCGCGGCGAATTCAAAGACTACTTCTGGCCCCTCAGCCAAGTCGCCAACGCCTGGTGGAGCGCCGTCGGCGAACCAATGTACCACAACAACATCACCTTCACCAGCGCCATGAACGCCATCCCCTGGACCGAAAAGGTCCTGCTATCCTGCGTCACAGCCTGGGGCACGAGACTCTTCTACCGCATCGTGTCGCGCTCTCTCGCCCGCGGCCGAGACGACCCGCGCTACGAGGAGCTCAAGGCCAAGGACCCCGGCTTCTGGAACTCGGCCCTCTTCAAGATGTATCTCCCCGAAGCGGCGTTCCTGACTCTCATCTCGCTGCCCTTTACCCTGCCCTTCCGGATGAGTTGGTCGAGCGTGGCGTTTGACGCGGAGACGTCCGGCGTGCTTCGCGCCTTGGGCGTCGGGCTCTTCAGCGCGGGCTTCGCGATGGAGGCGCTGGCTGATACGCAGGTGGAGCTGCATCGCAAGGAGCGCGATGATCTCTGCCGCCATGGTGTGTGGAGCATCGTCCGTCATCCGAAGTATGTATTCCTATTCCCCTGTTCATAAAAAGACCAAAGCTAATGGCCATGCTACAGCTACCTGGGCGACACCCTCGTCCACCTATCATTCGTTGTCCTCAACGCGGCGAACACGTTCAACCCGCTTGTCCTGCTTGGCCCGATTGCAAACTACGTTTTCCTGCGTGTTGTTGGCGGCGATGCGCAGAATGAGGCGAGCCAGGAGGAGAGGTACAGGATGCAGGATCCCCACAAGTATGCGCAGCTGCAGGCGTGGCGGCGTGAGAAGAACAGCTTCTGGCCTGCGTTGTCGGAGCTGGCGAATCCGTGGACGTGGGCTGTTGTCGCTAGTGGGCTTGTGGGTGTTGTTGTTGAGGAGGTGGTGCGTTCTTCGTTTGGTCAGTAGATTCTTAATGTATATAGTTATCAAGGCCTTAATTATGGTTCATATTTTCTATGTATGCCGCTGTGGATGTGCTGAGTATTTGTGGGGTTTGTACCTATTCTATAAAACCAAATGTATAACCATCTGATGGTCACGGCTGTCTCATCCTCTGGGGCTTAAGATTTGTAGTTTTTATACAACAATCGCAACAATTACGGATCCCTAGCACTTTGTCATGACTTGACAGAGTTGGCAGCAGGTGTTGGAAATCCGCGCTCCGTCGAACTGAAGGTGCATGTGGTATGCAGGTAAAGTTTGAATAGTAGCTTTATTCGCACCATATATTTTGACTACGTGTATAGCCATGAGCGCCTTCCTAGGTGGTCTGCGGACAGATGTTACATCAAGCACGCATAGCCATTCGGACATTCACTCATCTAGGTTCTCTAAGGTTAACAGTAGACCTTCATATACTACTAAACACGCTCAATCAAATGCAAAACTATCAAAACAAATATACGTAAATCTATACCTCATACCTCATCAATCACTGACAGCATTCCTCTCCTGCAACCTAGTTCCCTCACCGGACCCATTCGAGGACACCTCCTTCTGCGCCTCAGGACTCTTCTTCGACCTGAACGGAAGCACAATCACGAAAATAACATACGCCAGGCCGACGACACCCGCAACAACCGAGTAGGCAATGATCGCCCCCTTCGGCGCACCCTGGCCCGAGTTCTTGGTAAGCAGGAATCCTAACCCGCCATTGACGATGCCAAGGGCAATCAGCGCCCGGCCCAGCCAGCGGTGCATGTATGCGAAGACGCCCTTTCCGCCGGTGCGTCGGAAACGCATATGTTGAAGTAAGCCCATGAGCGGCTGGAAGAGCACCAGCATGCCGACAACGACCAGGCCGATGATCGGGTGGTACTTGTCCATTTGGTCTGTATCGATGCCGAGGTAGACGCCCAGTCCGAGTCCGGCGATGGCCATAGCCAGGGTGATCAGCTGCAGTGGTGCGTGGATGCGCGTGACGGCCTTGGAGTAGGGGATGATGTGGATTGAAATAGCGAAGAACGGGAATAATACGACAAAGGCGACGCTCATGAGGACGGCGTGGGCTATTAATGCCGAGTTCGAGTTGGAGGTTGTGCTCCCCCCTGTTGCTGTTTGTGGGGTCGATGTCGTGTTGAGCCCAGCGAACGGGTTTGATGCATCCACGGTAGCCATCCTGGCCTGTGCCATGTTGACAGACTGCACGCCCTCGGAATCATGCTGTGTGATACTGTACGACACATCGCTGGAGTCGATCGCGGAACCCTTCTTTTCTGCCCAGATCCAGCTACTTGAGGTGCTGGACGGATCCAGAGAGCCACCGGTCCATTGAAGGCAGTTATTGCAGCGCACATTGGCGGTCATGGACCCGTTGCTGATACCAGTACCGTCTAGGAGATCGATCTGCGCATCTGGGTTGTAGCCCGGCAGGAAGTGACCACTGCCAGACCGGGGAGAGAGGGTGACATTGTTCGCAGAGGCGGCGTACATGATGAACATGTTAGAGCCTGCCATCTGCGAGCCTTGACCAAGAGCCACCCATTGATACGTGGTGGGTGCGCGGATCTGGAAGTAGATCGGCCCGGAGTTGGAGGAAACTGTGCTTTCAGGTACTATCACGCTATAGACGACATCGCTTGCGGGAGAAAAAGAGTAGATTTGGGCGGCGGCAAGGGGAGCTGTCACGTCAGCACTTGTTCGGAGACACAGGTAGGAGATATGTACCAAATGCCAGATATAGAAGTCTACTCCAACGCATTGTGAAGGTGGATCTTTAATCGTTACTGTGGTGAGCAAGCAGAACTCTTGAGCAAGAGGAACTATATAAGTCCTCGGTTTTCAACCAAAGAGTTCCCTCTAGGTATACAGCTCGACTGTCGACTCAAAGAGGCAATATAACTCGCCAGAACCGATCCCCCGCTCATCAAGGCTCTATTCAGTAATTGATCCCTGTTAGCATAGCCTCGTTGACGAGCGCCAAGACCCTTCGTCATATGGAAAGGCTCTGATTCAGTAATTGATCACCGTTAGCATAGCCACGTTGATGAGTGCCACGACCCTTGGGCATATGGATGCTTCCGGGTATTGAGCACAAACCTTGCTTGTGTTTGAAGTAAGAGGGTCGGACCGATCAGTTATCGTGCGTTCATCTCGATTATCTGGCCGGCCGCCATCGCGGTCTCCACCGTGTTGATAAACTGATAGTACGGAGTAGCATTGGCGACTGGAACCCAGCCCACCCGAGTTCCCACTGCGCAGGACTGTCAACATAGTGGAGGTCAAGCTCTCGGAAGTCGTATCAAACTCGCCGAAAAACCGAAAATCATCCGAAACAGATTCAGAAGTCCGGAGTCTGGCCCAGTCACCAAGGAGTGAATACCAATCTCCAAGCATTCTCCACACAAGCGATGGACCAGTATTTAGAAGCGAGCTTGGCATGCCAGAGTTGCATGCTCGGCCAAGACCCTGGTTTCAGTCGCGATCAGAGGATGGCCAAATAGAGCCGGGTTGATTGGTCTGGATTCAAAACGGTCTCCGTGTCAAAACATCATTGTCTCAGCTTCGCCACACCAGGAGAATGCATGGTAATGTTGTAGCCTGAAGGATCAAGGACAGCTTGAAGAGTGACTTTAATGGACTGCCAAGGGAACTTTATTCAACTTGCACAGCCTCAGCCACCTTAATTCTAAGTCCCAGGTCCCACAGCCTTCCGCAAACCTATCGGGAAGGAAAACATGATAGAACGAATCGAAGAGGAATTAGAGATTATCTCGACTTACTTGGCCAATCATTGAGCAACCGTCCTCAACCTTATTCCCCACGTCGGCAGGAGACTAATTCTTACTATCTGCCTACGTCATCTCGCCTAAGCGAATGGACATGCGACGAGCTCAAGACGAGGACTGTTCATGATGATGACCAGATCCTTTGGTAGGCGGATCAATCCGATTACATCCGGACAACTTCACAGCCTATACAACAAAACAGTATGGTCACTCAAACCATGCATCCCAGGTTCTGCTCTTACTCTCCGAGAGCTTTCTGGAAACGACTGTGGCCAGCAGAGGTAAAAAGGTCCCGATGTCCGTTCCCAAAGCCGAGAGTTGTAGGTCGACATACTGTTGCATGCTCAAGTCTCCCTGAGCGCACACTCCGTCCACCACGAGGGGCCAGAGCATGCACTTTCCGATCCCAGGTGTCCCCCAGGCCTGCTTCAGATACGTGAAGAGATCTTTTGTGTGTGCTACTCTCATTGCTCTAGGCTGTGCCTTTCGCGAGAGGACGCAGAGACTCTGCAGAGACATTATGCAGTACAGTATCACTGCCGAGCGGTAAACGTGGCCAAGGGTTATTCCTTTTTCTGGGGTGGCGCAAGACATTGCCCAGCTCGCTAGCGAGAAGGCCGTGATACGGCCTAGCAACGCCAGAGCTTTGCCTTCGGACTCGGTGGACGGGTGCAAGAAGGCCTGCAGTCGGAGATGATTGATCCGGATGATATTTGCTAAGAGTGCGGGTGGACAGAGATGAACAGGGAAGAAGCCGTCCCCCTACATCTGGGAAATCGCGTCGATCGACCGTATGTCGGAGCCCAAGGGTATGTGGTCGGAAGGTGGACTGGTCGTGTTACTGATGACTCTGATACTAGACCTGGTCAGCGTATGTTCACGGCCCACGGAGAGATCATACATCATGAAATACAGCAATAAGCTTTGAAGTGCGGAGCCGATTGAAGGAGCTTCTCCACTCCTCCTCGGATGGTGACCATCTCCAGAGCTGCAGTGAAGTGATGAGATTGCCTGGACTGAAATGCTCGTCAGCGTCAGTCAAATACAAGCAGATATTGGTACCCACATCACTGAATAGCAGCATCATCACCCCCACGAGCGTTTTGTCTGTACGACACTTGTCTGGGTGGTCTATCTCCTCCTTCAGATACCGCATAGCCTGTCCTCGGTGCTAGTAATGCTTGGCTTCAATCTCTCGCAAATCGCTACGGCTGTTCTGGGGGAGTAGTCGGTGAAATCGGTGGCTCAGCGCTAGAGAGACAATCGTGCAGTGGATCGGAGGCGGAATAGCTTGAAGACATTCCATGGGGAAGGCAGTAATAAACGGGTTTTCGGCTAGCTGGAGCAGGCAAGTATACTCCGGTAGAGCGCAGATATTGTCTATTTATTAGAACATTGCTGGTTCAAATCGAAGAGCGAACTCGAACTCACAATAATATGCAGCCTCCACGAACCCTCCAAACTGGGTGACCAGTCGATCGTGAGGGACGCTCAAACTCCGCGCTTCCACTTAGCTGTCACTTCTGTCTTCGGATACATGTTACTTGTTGCTTGGTAGTAGTCTGCTGAGCAGTCTTTTTCCGCGGCCGAGATGTCACCTCACCCGTTGTAGCCCGCTTGAGCGGCTTCTTGTCGTCGTATAGCCAGGACACTCGACTCCAACAATGTAGCATTTGCGGCACCTGAGGAGTGAGAAGTCGCAGACTAGTCGGCGACGATGACATTCCCAGCATTGACGGCGTCTGTTTCGGGACGAAGGAATTGGCTTTTCCATCTCGGCTAGTCAAGTAGCGTCCGTAGAATGACAAAAAAGGACAAGAATGAACAAGCCGTGTGTAAACGGCGTCTTTTGCAATTTATTGTTGACTTGAAGCAGAAAAGGCTATGATGACGCTGATGCCAAGGCACAGTCAGCTGTCGGGCTGAATTGCTTGGCCATGCTTTTTTCCTCTTTGGGACGATCCCCAGATACCATCGTCAGCAGCCAGCCCCCTAATTACATTATTGTCATAACTGCATGGTCGTAAATACATACATGAACGTCAAACCGAGTCATCCTCCACCGATACCATCTCCTCCCTCATATTCTCCAGAAACCGATGCATGACCGTCCTTAACTCCTCATACGCAGCCAGAAACTCCCGACTCTGGATCCCATAGCTCTGCTCTTTGACCTCCCACTTAACAACCTCCACCCCCCTCACGCTCTGCCTGACCGGATCCAAATTCCATCGGAGCAATTCCAGCAGCTCCGCCGGCGTCTTGCTCAAGCTCAACAGCAGCGGCACATCAACTTCAATCTCTACCAACAGCGTCCTTAGCCTGCGCCCAACCGGATCTCCGATCCCCTTGGCCAGTGTCACAAGTCGATCCTGGAAACCCAGGAGGTGTTCCAGCGGTGCCGTGGCCTCGGGTCGGAGGAGATGTAAGGGAGTGCGCTGCAGCGCGATGCAGAGGTGCATGGTTGTGACGTAACGGATCGTAGACGGGAGCGGGACATAGGGTGCTAGGATTTTGCCGCAGAAGAGGATGTATTTTGCGTCAACGATGACTTCGTAGGCCGCTGCGCTGTACCATTCGCGGATGGCTTCGGTGTGGATTGCATGGTTGGTGCGGAGGAGGGCGGGGCAGCAGGATTGCCCGTCACGTCTAAGGGGTGGCTTTTTGTTGCGGATCAGGGAGAAGTTGCGAATGGGGATGTTGGGGATCAAGTAGTGGTAGATTTGGAGGCGGACTTCGGGGGGGAGGGAGAGAAAGGGGAAGGGAGACATTGACTGTCACATACAGGACTAAGCAGAATAATTGTCTCCGTTGTGAGTTAAAAGACCGATGGAATGATGAGCCGATCCTGGATTCCTGAGGTTCCAGGCTTTCAGCCAAATGATAAGCGCCGGCGATAAGATCGTCACCGCGGCATGTGGGGTTGCCTTTGATTGGTCTATGCGGGGTATGTCCGCCTGTCAAACTGTGTATTGTATCCCAAGTAGGAAGTATCTAAATAAGGCCGGGGCCGAATCAATTCTAATTCTTAAAATGCGCGCTTCAATGGAAAAGAAAAGTCAAAGGTTCTTCCAGTCAAGGTATCCCAATTAATATCCCCTGGTCCGTTTGTACTCATTGACCAGCGGTTCTCCCCTCTCCAGTCGCCATATATTCTCCTTGGCAATATCGAACGACCGGGGGAAATATTCCTTGCCCAGGGCACTAATATGAGGACTGATCCGCACATTTGGCACATCCCATAGCGGATGACCCGCAGGGAGTGGTTCCGGATCGGTGACGTCCAGCGCTGCCCCACTCAACTGGCCCGATCGGAGAGACGCGATCAATGCCTCTTGGTCGACGACCTTGCCGCGTGCAATGTTGGTCAGATATGGCTTAGGGTGTCCCGCGGGTATGTGTGAGGATAAGACGGCGAATTCTTCGGCGCCGAGGAGATGATGTGTCTGCGCCGTTAATGGCACGCAGACTACCAGATGGTCCAATCCGAGCTTCAGGAATGAATGAATCGACGCCTTGTCTGTGCCATGGTGCCACGATACCGGTATTGAGCCGTCCCTGTCGCCGGTGCCGGGGATAATGTATCCGGTATCACGACGGGATTCGGGAGTCAGGCGAGGAGAAGCCGTATACGCGTGGACGGTCATTCCTAGAGCGACAGCGACACGGCCGACTGGATCATTGTCAGCAGAAGTTTTATTGAAGTGGTCAATAGCATACTCTGTCGTCCAATACTACCGTATCCCAGAATGCCCACCTTCTTCCCAACCTGGTCATGCAGCCCGTGCATGTATTCATCCACATCTCCCCAGACATGCTGCTTTTGATTCTCATACGTCCGAACAAACTCTTTCGACGCGGCGAGCCAGTTCATCACAGTCCATTCGGCAATAGGAGGTCCATGAATTCCCGAGCTGGTGCTGATGGGTATCTTGCTGTCTTTGAGAATAGGATGGGTCAAGAGATGGTCGAC